GCGGCCTTCTCGCCTGTATTTCTGTCTTTTGAACCATCATTTGGTTCTTGGCGAACCAGCCTGCTATGTTCAGGCAGGAACCCTATTATACACCCAGTTTTACCCTCGTTTCAAAGACGACAATAAAAACAGGAAACATGCTGAAATAGAAGTCCGAGGACACCTAAGCATTTTTTAAGAGTTGTGAATGTGAACAGACGGCATGCCGCCTGCGACGTATATAGCTTTCGCCTCGCGTTGTCGAAGGGCCTCGTCCTTCTGACGCCTGAGACGCGCTGAATCACGATCCGCTTGCGCCTCAAGCTTTCGAAAGGCTTTGCTTGTCTCCTAGCACGTTGCGCCGCTGCTCGTTCCGCCCGCCGTGTATTAGGAGACTTGATAACAATGGTGGATTCGCTCGTTGCTGCGTTATTCCGCTCTCTTAGTCTTAAGGGCCGCCCACACTAGCGAAAAAACGCGCCCGGCGCGCCGATAAATCGGTTAAGCGGGAAGATAAAGGGCGTGTCTCTGCACGCGCTCGTGGCGCTGACTGTGCTTCGGCGACATTTTGTTACTTGCCGCGATCGGCGTGCCACGCGCGTTTTCTCGCTAGTGTGGGCGGCCCTTTAGTTCCTCTGCGGTACTTGCGTGGACGGGCAGGTTTCGCTACTGCCGAGGTTGCGGCCGCCGACGATGTACATTCTTGAGGCGCCGTCATGTTCGTCGGCGTCGAGAGGAGCAGATGCGACCGAGCGCGTGCCACCGTGTTCCTTTTAGCGGAGCGCTGACGGCGCGGGACCCGCAGCGCCATGGGGTGGCGTTCCTTCAAACTATGACGCGCGCCAGCCAATGGGAGCCTCGTTCCTTGAAACTATGACTTTCGCAGCACAATGGGAGCCTATCCATCAAATCTCTGCCACAGACTATAGGCTTCGCTCCATTGGGTGCCGTTTCCCAGGTAGCGCCCAATGTCGTGCGAACATTCCCTGGATGTTCTGAATGTTGAAGGAACGTTCAACACCATTCGGAACGTTCTGGGAACGTTCGTATGCCAACATTCCCTTCAAGGTAAGCTGCTCAACGTTCTAGGAACGTTCGTTGGCGAACATTCGTATGCACAATGTTCTCGGAACGTTCCCCTTCGAACATTCATATGCGCAACATTCTTGGAATGTTCGCTTGCGAACATTCCGAGAATTTTCGCAGGTGAAGCCAACCTTATAGCCGCTTTACACACGCGCCAGATTACAGACGCCGTTGCCAACCTTCTATTGTCTTACCGAGATATCAAACCACTGAAGCGGGCTTTGGCGAGCCTCCACAAAGGCAAATGCTGGGGAAAAAGACACCGTCGTATCTAAAATGCTGCAGTAACCTGTCCTCCTGTGGTAATGATGGAGCGAAGTGAAAAATATAAGAGGAAACAAAAACTGAAGGGCGGTTATGGCGGCGCCCATGCACAGCTGCTGTAAAGCGTCTATAGAGCTCTCACGCAACCCGTGGTTCGAAACACAATCCACTATATGCCACTTTGTGCCAAAAAATGCAAATTAAGTGGAGTTTCTGGAAACTTAGCATAAGCGATCAGTTTGATCTTATATGAGTCTACTGAGGAATCTGATATAAGTACGTGTAAGAGAAAAGAAATGGTTTTCAAAACTTGGTAATGAACTTGATAGTCACTGCGTATGTAGAGGGCAGTTTTGAATGGACCAGATGTTTTTGTATCTGGGGTGGAAAAGTTTGAAAAAGGTATTTCCCTGTTCTTAAGCTTAGAGTGAGTAATTTGTTATCGATACAGCACATTTAAAAAGAAAGAAGTTGACACTCAGGTAGGAGTAAACTTTCATTAGTACGTGCTCAGCTGGGCTGGTGCACTGGAAAAGGGGCTAGCTTGAGCTTGCGCCTTCTAACAATCTGTTTCGATTAATAAATATCACCCTGTGAGGAGCTTTATGACATCCATATATGTAGTGCGGCTCATTGGGGCTGCACCCTAAGCAAGCCGTAATTGTTGAATCTGTAAATAGTCAGAAAATGTTCCCTGAATGTAGCGATGTACAAACGCCACGTCCTGAGGAGATTGAAAGGATATGTCCCTGCATAAATTTGCAGCATTTAAAGAAAGTTACAGAAGTTCTTTGGATGTTCTGAGAACGTTCTTAGAACCTTGTTAGGATATTTGAATGTTGATTGAATGCCGTGGCAATGTTCTATGTCATTCTCAGGACGTTCTAAGAATGTCCATGAGAGAACATTCCCCGAATGTAGCTATAAGTGCCTACCCCACATTCTGACAACGTTGATAGAATGTTCTCACGTAAATTTGCGACATTCCCAGAATGTTGCCTATGTTCTTTTAAACATTCCCGGAATGTTCTCAGAACGTTCTCGTGCTGCGTGGGTTGGCGCGCGGCTTCAAAAGCTGATAATGCCGGTTCGAACCATGGGACCAGTTAATGCTTTCGCATTAAAAAAAGGGCATCGCCAGTGAAGGTTTTACTACCGAAAGACAACCGAGTCCACCTGTTCTAAACTTTTTTTTTTAATTGTCAAGAATGCATTGTTATAGCTTTTCACAGGAACGGAACTGCTCCGAGAAATTTCGTAGGAATGCGTCCACGTAAAATACAGCTTCGTTGAAAATGTGAGCTTTCTACGTGCAAGCGCCCGATTTTCCAGTGCATTTTACATCGACAAGCAGAACCGATTGTGGCCATGCATTGACCAGTGGCTGGCGATGGTCTTTTGGCCAATGGCCAGAGAAGGGCCAGTCATTGGCCGATGGCTGGCCACTGTCTGCCCACTGGTCAAAGGACCATAGCCAGCCATTGGACAATGATTGGCCAAATCTGTGCTGCTACTAATAGTAGATAGCGCGCGCGCTACCAGTTTGTGTCAACATTGCTTCGTGACAGGAATTTTGGATGAATGTATTGACACCGGTATAGGCAGTGATAATAAACCTTCTATAAACAACAAAATCTTGGTAATTTTTTTTTTTCAATTTAAAAATTTTCAGCTGAGAATGATTCACAATATTCGTAAATGACAATCGCAGTTTCTATTTTGAGCCTGATGGCTGTACTTTTTGGTTGCAAACGGCCCATTCTGGCAAGCGCTCGGTGAGTAGCCATGCAGTGGAGAACACGTGACATCCGGCACCATCGCGACGTAGATTGTCTCGGGACAAGCAAAACTGCTGCGAGGCTAACGTTTGTTTGTTTTTTTATTTCGGACACAAGGTCACAAGTGTCGCGGTGTTGAGTGAGACGCAGATGCATCGGGTTCCAGTCGGCAAGTGAAGTGACTTTATTCAGGCCGCCGATTATATAGACTAGCAACGAAGGAGCAAAAGAGTGAGGGGGCGCCACTTGCGACCTCTACATCTCCCCTTCAGGGAAAAGGACACAAACTTGTTGTCTTCATAAATTAAGTCTCCCGGGCGTCTTGATGTGTCGCCCGAAGCGAGAAACTCTGCCCGGTTGCTGAGGGCACACTGGTGACTGCGGCGAGGGCACCGACGCTGTGCCCAGCACTGGGGATTCCGCCAGAGACCGCGGAGACCCAGTGTAGCGTTGTAGGGGTTGCGGAGGCGGCGAAGAAGCATGACGAGGCATTGGAGGTAGAGTCGATGCAGCTGGAGTGTCGGAGACCGGCGAACTAGCAGACTCCACTGCAGGCTGAGATGGTGTAAATGGAACCAGTTGACGACGGTTCCGCTCAAGTATGCCTGTGGGCGTCTGCACAACGTACGAGCGAGGTCATCTTGCTGGCCCCAGGACACGCGCAGCTCCAGGTACATCTGCGAGCCAAACATCTCCGCCCGGAGACAGCGGACGGAGTGGACGAGCGGCGCCTGTCGGCGTCGAGCACACGAGTCTCGCTGGTTGGAAGAGCGTCCTTGGAGTCGTTCGAGGGATCAGGGCCTCCTCAAGCTTCAGCACCGTGGTCTGCAGTCTTCTCCCTATCAAAAGTTGCGCTGGGCTCCATCCACTTACTCCCGGGGTGTCGCGATAGACGAGCAGGGCCAGATAGGGATCTTTCGTCTTGGCCAGCAGGTCCTTCACTGTCCGCACCATGCGTTCAGCCTCTCCGTTGGCCTGCGGGTACCGGGGGCTGCTGGTTACGTGATGGAAGCCGTAACAAGCAGCGAAGGAGGCGAAGTCCCTTGAGGAGAACTGTGGCCCATTGTCGGAGACGACGACAGTGGGAATGCCAAAGCGTGCAAAAATGTTCTTCATTGCATGCAATAACAGCCGAGGAAGACGTCGATGACAGGGTAATTACCATCCGGGTAGCGCGAATAGTAATCTACCGTGAGGAGGTAGTGACGTCCACCTTCTTCAAACAAATCAGCCCCTACCCGAAACCAGGGCCTCCTCGGAGTCTGGGAACCCATGAGTGGCTCGTGGCGCTGTACCCGTGTCTGAGCGCAGGTCTCAGATGTTCCAGTTCAGAGTTCAGTGTCGGCCACCACACGGACTCGCGCGCACGTGCCTTGCAACGGCCAATCCCCTGGTGGCCCTCGTGCAGTCTGGTCAGCATGTCACGTCGGAGCACCGCAGGAACCAGGATCCGATTGTTGTAGAGCAACAGCCCCTCGCAGACTGTGATGTTGCTCCTCGTGCTCCAGAAGCAGCGTAGATGGGCAGGAACTTGCGACGCTCGCCGCGGCCACCCACGTTCGCAGAGACGGGCCAGATCCATGCAGGTTCCGTCCTCCTCCTGGTGTTTGCGCAGTTGCTCCAGACCCGGAGCAGTGAGGTCTTGCCATCCCTTCACGATGTTGTTCACGAAGCGCTCTACATCGAGGGAGTCGACTTCCAGACTGGCAACCTGCGCAGTAGCTGGAGCCCGGGAGACGGTATCGGCGGTGGCGATATTCCCAGGGACGTAGAGTACCCGGAACTGGAAGCGAAGGAGCCTCATCCGCAGCCGTTGAATTCTTAGGGGGACGAGGTCTAACTCGGCGTTGCCCAGAAGTGTGACTAGAGGCCTGTGATCAATCTGGACGTCGAACTGGATACCCCGCACGAACTGTTCGAATCGTTCAACTGCCCATAATCATAATCATAATCATAATCATCTTTATTTGCTCAGGAGAGCCGCGGCACCGCAGAAAGGCAACAGCCCGTACCAAGGAGGCCCGCGGTGCCGCGTCTAGTGAAGAGGATTATGTGATGATGTAATATACAAGATTTGAAAGTTCTGATGATTAGGATATGTGTGTTAGGCCTAACAGCATTCTTCGCGGTTGTGGTCTTCGCGGTGCTGCCGTTGGCTGCTTACTTCTAGCAGGCCGGTCTCAAGCACCTGGAGTGGGCTCCTCGCGTGTCCGACTTGCATAGTAGCCAGCCGAATTACCGGCGACGCAGGGAATTCATCACCCCCGCGGGCGGGCTCCAGCGGTTGGCGCCAGTGTTGGCCGAGCGGCGGTCTTTACGAAAGCGGGCCTTGGTGTCTTTCAGCTTGCGGTCCAGCTTGTAACTGAGCAGCCTGAGCACCATGTCGATCGAAGACATGGTCTGCGCCACTTGTCCGGCTGGCTTTCGGACGATCGAAAAGACACGTCTTACGCCCATGCCACGGCGAGTGCCTCCTTTTCGGTCTGGCTGTATCTGGACTCCGTCGGAGTTAGTGAACGACTTGCAAATGCCACTGCACGATGCTCTCCGGAAGGTTGCTGCTGCAGGAGAACTGCTCCGAGGCCGTAGGAGCTGGCGTCGGCGGACACAGTCGTGGGGTAGGTAGGGTCGTACCGGGCCATGCAGGCGTTTGAGCTGAGCAGCCCTTTCAGTTTCTGGAACGCTTGCTGCTGTGCAGGACCCCAAACCGATGTACTGGACTTCTGAAGAAGAGCCCGGAGGGCTGCTGTCGTCTCCGACAAGTGGGGAAGAAAACGTCCCAAGTGGTTGGCCATCCCCAGCAGTCGTCGCACTCCACTGACGTCGGAGGGAGCCTCGAGATCTGCGAGCGCTTTGATCTTCTCCGGATCGGGACTGATGCCTCTGTCGCTGACCATGACGCCCAGGAACTTGACTTCACGCGCCGAAAAGACGCACTTGGAGCGGTTGAGCTTGACCCCGGCTGCCTGGAGACGCTGCAAGACGTTGTTCAGGCGACGGTCGTGCTCAGCCTGCCCCATGACCGCAACATGCTACGGGCAAAGGAGAAGAAAAACCCAAAGGCACATATTAGCGGCGAGATGTTTTGGTGGCGCCCTCCTATGGTTCCCCTTTGTGACGTCATTACCTTGCGAACAACAAGTTCGATGGTGTTTGTAAATAGCATAGTGGAAGCCTGAAATCATTGCGCTCTCGAAGCAACACTGCCAACACCGTCGAAATTAAAGTTCTTTCATTCCTCTTATTTCCGTCGATGGTGTACCCTTTCCGACGTCATAGCCTCAGCTTTTGGGCCAATCGTGGAAGGCCGACCACAGCGACGCTTTCGGTCGCGCACGTCGCCAATATAAAACAGAGCGCTGGCGTGAGCAGTGGCGTAGACAGGGGGTTGGTTTGGGGGTCAAACCCCCCCCCCCCCCAAAAAAAAAAAAAAAAAAAATGCCGAAGCTACCCCCCCCCCCCCCCCCCCCCCCCCCCCTTCCTCTTCCCCCCGGGGCCCGCTCACTCCACTCCTTACGCAGACGGAGCGAAGGGGGAGCGCGGACTATCTCCAACTCGTAGCTACGCCGATTTGTTCCGTTGGGCTTTTTGGAAGAATCCCGCACTCTGTAGAAGACGCTCTGTTTTGGGGGCATTTTACTGACTTTCATCCGAATGCCTGTGATTCCTCACAACACAGGACTGCGGTGTTCTCGGAAGTAAGTGTTCCTCCTTATGTTTTTTTGTTTGTTTTTGCCAACTGGGCGCGGCTGATCGCAACTGACCGAGAGGAGACCTTATTCTTTTTTGTGTTTATTGCTGAAGGATCCAAAGGAAACAAAAGTGCGTGGATTTTATTTTTAGCAGGGTGTCGAACCGGAACCGAACCGAACCGAAAACCGGAATCGAACCGGTATTTTTTCCGGAACTGAACCCGAACCCGAACCGTTATATTGTTATCGCGATGAACCCGAACCGGAACTGAACCGGAAAGAAAATAACGGTTACCGGCTCATGTCAAAACGGTTCGGCCACGCGCTGTTGACAATGAATGTGCTATCAATGCCATTCGTTTTTTAAGTGCCGTCAACTGACACACACCTCGCTTACATATTTTTCTTCTCCACTTAGTCTTAGGAATATAAACGCTGCATCCATGAATCTTGACAAACGCTGCATCCATGAATCTTGACATAGGAACCAGTATTGCGCTGGTCGCGGCTTGCACGAAAAGAAAAATTAAAAGGCTGTGCAAAAAAAAAAAAAAAAAAAAAATCGCGTCACGGGATTTCATTTTCCTACAATCTCGTAAATCCTAAATGCTGCTGTGTGCACATTTCATAACACGTTTCTAGAACGCGCGAGTTCTTGAAGTTTGCTTCCATCGGAATGAGAAAAGAAAAGGCTGTGGAGTTTGATAATAATGCATCCGGTTTCGTATAGGCACTTAGAAGCTAACATATTTGTGAGACAGCGAACTCTTCTATTTTAATATTTATCCTATTACGTCCTTCTGGCGTTGCGTTCGGTGAAGTGTTTTTCATATTCCGTATCTTGTTTAATGAAAACTTCTTTAAGGGTCTAATTTGAGTTACCGAAGGCTAGTTCAAATAAAGAAAGCTGTATTTTCTCCCCACTGCGGGATAGTTAGCGAGTTCTACTTGTAAGTGGGTTTGTAAGGAGGTCGCGGATTTTACAGCTACTGCGTCGGACCCAATTAGATGAAGTCCGAATGCGTAAACGTCGGTGAGGTAACCTTTGAGTGCACATAAAGAAACCATTCCTGGTAGAAAACCCTGAGCCTTACACTACGATGTATCCCGTTTCGTATGTGCTGATTTCAGATGTTTCATTTGTAATTTATTTTGATGTTGCAATTTGTCATTTATAATTTCCGAACCGGTTCGCGAACCGGTTCAGCGCCCCGAACCGGTTCGCGAACCGGTTCGCGGATCGAATTAATCGAACCGGAACTGGACCGGAACAAAATAAATTTACCTGAACCTGAACCGTAACCGCACCCGTATTTTTTTCGGTTCGACACACTGATTTTTAGGATACCGTATATACTCGAGTAATAGCCGCACTGTTTATGACAAAAAACTTGAGGGTTCGCTTTTCTGCGGAGCACTCGGATTGCCAATCACCGCGATCGACAGCATGATTTAAGCGGTTTACAGGACAGAGATAACGTCTTCGCGCGAAGATACCATCTGTGAAGATTGTATTTGTATGGAGGCTCGTATTCTCAATCTAGTTATTCGCTATGTTATTTATGCGCAACGGGGTGATTGGCTGTATATGTGCTTTGCGGGAAAGTAGACGCAAGGGCCTTCTTCCTAAATAGTGCGGCTATATATTACTCGAGTAAATACGGTAGCTTTCGGTTTGCTTTTTGCTAGAAAAGCTATTTCACTATTTCAGCTATTTCATTGCGTTTGCTAGAAAAGCTATTTCACGACGTCATTCAATCCCCCGTACCCGAGAGAGCTGGGGAAGGGAGAGGGGGGGGGGGGGGGGGGTAGGCACCCTGGCTGGGGGGGGGGGGGGGGGGGGGGGGTGCAAGCTTTTGCAACCCCCTGCCGACGCCCATGCCCCAAACCCGGCGACGACTGACACGAGAACGGCGGCGGAGCGCGCTCATCGGCTTGCGGGCCGCAGCGCCAGGAAGAGGGCTTCTCTGTCGTTTCGTCCGAGCGCGACCGATGTTATGAACCGAAAAGCCAATCAAACAGCGCAAAAAGCGCAACGTCATGGCTTGCTCTTTGCGCTTGATAGGACTAGCCGGCGGAAGAGCACGCACAGAGACACGGCGAATACAGGCTGGTCCTATCAACTGCAGAGAGCACGCCATGACGTTGTGCCTCTTTCGCTGTTTGATTGGCCCTTCGGCTCATAACATCGGCAGCGCTCGGACCTAAGATGAAACGCCCGTGCGTCTACTTTCCCGCACAACACTCGGAGAGCCAATCACCTCAACTTACGGAGGCCGCTCGGCGAATGACGATGCCGAAACATATGTTTAGACCAAAAAACGCAGTCTGACTTGTGATATTAAGCAATGCAAGCGTGACGTTTTGCATTGCTTAATGTCACAACTCAGACTGCGTTTTTTGGTCTCAACATATGTTTCGGCATCGTCATTGGCTGAGCTGTCTCCGTAGGTTCCGGTGACTGTCTCTCCGAGTGTTGTGCGGGAAAGAAGACGCACGGGCTTTTTTTATAGAGTGTACGCGTCCCGGCCAACGGCTAGCCTATAGAGTCTATAGACGTTTTCTGTTTCCTGTCGTTCTCAGTCAAGTAGGTTCCGTATCTGATATGCGGGCCGGAAAAGTAATCAAACATTTCAACCTGGAATGTGCGAGAAAATATAGGTGAGGCAAAACAAGAATGTGTGAGTGACAATCACGCTTTTTCGTGAACACCTTTCAGCTGCGTGAAGAGATCAAAACGATATTTTACCGCATCCCAGAAGTGACAACACTAGTGAACTAACGCGTCTCAGCTGAAAGCTCGAAGTGTGGAGCGAAAGACGCTGCAGAACCTCCTGGGTTCGATCCCAACCCCCAGCCCATTTCGATATGTATGAGTTTCGTATACCGGCACAAGGTCGTGTATCACTACTGCGTGGTGCACGTTAAAGTTCCCAGGTTAGCGGTTGTACTGCACTAACTAAATTTCTCACATACAGCTAAAAAAACCGGTCACCCGTGGAAGGCGTACCAACATCAAGGCTGTCTAAACCTACTCGCGAAACCACTTTTTTTTTCTTTTTTTGCGTGGTCACAGACGCCGTTGGCTCCTGCGCGGTTACAGACGCATTCGGCTCTGCTCCATGAGACAGTTAATGCTTTCGCATTAAAAACCTTTAACCTGTATCATAGAGCTCAGCTCCGATACTGCCCTCTTAACGTGATCAATGCAAAACGCCATACTACATTGTATTAAAAACAGCCAGATGATGATTAGACACGTAAGTATATTTTAGCGTGGCAAAATGTTATCATGTCAGCATCACTGGAGTCGGTAGCTTTCAAAGTAAAGTAACTGCGAAGTAATTGCATTACTTTCTGAAAGTAATACATAAGTGTGATTAACTAATTTTTGTGTGCTACTAATCCTAATTCTAATTTAACTGTCTCTGGAGCAAAGTAGTTTTAACTGCACAACTAAATTACATTTTCAAAGTAATTTACCCAGGTATGGCGTGCGTCTATGAACGCACATGCAGGTGTGCGTGCGTGCGTGCTTGCCGGCGTGCGTGTGGATCTTTGTACATATCTGTGTGTACATGTTCGCATTAACTATGGAGATCACCTACACAATGAAATCCCTCTTTTCTTTTTTCCTTCTTTTTGCTAAGCGTACGTTTGTGCTACGTAAAGACATTTGCCGATAGGTTTCGACCTTGCACGCAGCTATAGTGGCCTTCGAGAACGCAAATCTGATCAAATAAATAGAATCATTCGGATTCATCCGAGCGCATTTGGGAACCATGCAAAATTGTTCGAGAGCCGATAAAAAAAAAAGTTCAATTAAATCATGGTGGCTGCACAAACAGTACGGGCAAACCAAAATCAATCACGTTTCAGTGCACGACTTTCCTCTTACGTTTTCCGGGCCTCTCAGCCCTGATCGACAGAATTCTGACTGGACGCCGTGTGTGATGGAACCCTTGCTCACCCTGCACGTTTTTCTGGCTGTTACGATTCCGATGCTGGCCTCCTCCGATCCACCGAGTACCAACCAAACGAATCAAGTCCGATTTTGTGGTAATGTTGCATTACGATTCTTTAAGTCAGTATTTCAGCAGTGCATCCGAACTAAGCGAAGGTTGTGCTAATTCTAGATTCTAACCTACCTCGGTATGATAACTTACTAGTTATGTTTTCATTGCATCAACTCAAAACGAGGAAAAGATGCCGAGAGAATAAAATGTGAACTTGTCCGGCAGTATTTTCGATATATTTAAGGTCGGCACCACGGCAGAACATCGTTCGACAAGACAAGCGGTGTGCTTCTTCGTCGCGTGCTGTTTGGACTCCTGCCCTTTCGACGCCGTGCTACCTTGACGTCGTGCGGTTTTGACCGCGTTGTTTTGGTCGTGTGCTGTTCCGTTGAGTTCCGCGGCTACAGAACATAGTTTGGGACCAGACATTTCGCATTTAAACTCGTACACTCAAAACATTTGTCCGATCGTGTTTTAATTGCAGACATGTCAAGGGAAATGAAAAAGAGCGTTTATCGGTGTGCATGGGAAACGATGCCGATCCACGTGAGCATACATGTTTTAAGTTCTACAGCGATGCCAGTCAAAGGACCACACTGCTGTGATTTCATTAGGGCAGGAGCTCTAAGTTGGACACTCGGCGAGAAAGTCGCCGATTGTCCAGCTTAAAGTCCCAGAAATTGTCTTAAAAATATTTTTGTTTTTAATTAATCACCGATACGATTTGATGGGAACTAGTGTTACTTTTGTCAGTAAGCCAACAGGTACGTTGCAGACAACCCGCAAAATAACAATTTGCGAACATGCATGGTT